GGCATGACTCGCAGAATGGGGCACTTTTCTCATCACCCCTCTTCACCATGGCACCGGCCCCCCACTCCTCAAACACGTCCTTGAGGTTCCACAATCGCAGGCCAGACTCCTGGCCAGCCCAGAGCTGTAAGCCAGTGCAGGCGATAGTGCGGAGGAAGGAGCCGGCCTGAGTCTCGCGAAGCGGGTGCGGGCGCACCTCGAGTGCCGGGGGGCGGCCGGGGTGCATGGCAGCGCGGTGGGGCACGCGGAAGATGCCGACGCCCCCGCCGCTGCCCATGAACTCGGGGATCGTCCCGGGTGCGCCGCCGTACTCGGACATGGCACGCTCGAGGGTGAGGGAGCCGTCGCTGTCGGAGAGGGAGGAGCCGCCCCGGCGGAGGTCGAGGGAGAAGGCGTTGCCGAAGGAGCCAGCGGTAGCGGCGGTGGCGTGGTGGTGGGATTGGGAGGGACCGGAAGTGGGGAAGGACCGAAGGTGGGGCGAACCGATGTCCTCGACGGAGGAGGAGTGCTTATGGCGGTCATGGTAGGAAGGGGGAGGGGAGGAGTGGCAGTGGGCAAAGGCGGAGGCGTCGGAGGGAGAGGAAGAGGAGAGGGCGTCCTCGTCGAGGCTGTGTTTGCGGATGGCGTGGCGGCGGGCGGCGCTGCTTAGGATGGCGTCGCGGCTGAGGGGCTGGCTATAGGATTTGCCCTTGCGCTGGGCGCCGCTGGTCCGCCCCGCGGCTTCGGCGTCCTCCTCCTCCTCCTGCTTCCTCCTCCTCTCGTCCATTAATCAAGCACATAGAAGAAGAAGAAGAAGAAGAAGACAATATTTTCAGTACTATTACTCCAATCTATATAATCCATATTTCAAACATCTCTCGTTGGATCATCATCGATTGTTGTAATTGTCATTCGACACTACGTATCGAGCTGGCACATGACGCGCGCGCGCTCTCAATCTCTTCTTCTTCTTCTTCTTCTTCTTCTTCTTCTTTGGGTTTCCGTTTTGGAAGAGGGGGAAAGAATGGGTCAAAACAAAAGAAAGAGAAGGGAAACGGGGAGCCACGAAGCAGAGAGAGGATGGCGGCGGAGGTGAAGGCGACATGCGCGCGGGCGATTACGGGCGGCAGGCGACATTGCGGCCTTCCGTTCGCTCTTCGTGGCCACGTTGAACTTATTATTATTATTGTTGTTGTTGTAATAGTCGTGTTCATCTGATGATGACTCATCTGTCATCAGCTTCTCATCCGATGTGGCACCGGATAGGATATTATCACATTCTTATGACACTACATACATATTTAAGATCATATTTTAATCTTTTATATATAATTCAGATGCTACATCGGGATAAAGTGGAAAACTTGTATTTAAGAACACATTCGATTTCTTATAAAGTAAGATTAAGTTAATTACTTCATAGTAGTACGTCTATCGACCTCATGGTATAATATTATTTAAAGAGTGTAAGTGAGAACGAATCCTCAAGAATTCACAGTGGTGCGAGATGCAACTTTCGGGATAGCATATATAACAATTTGTGTTATATGTTTATGTATCATATACAAACTTTGTTCAATTCTATTATTTATGGATACATTATGAGAAAGAAAGAAATAATAATAATAATAATAATAATAATAATAATAATAAAATACATTCCAAGATATATATATATATATATATATATATATATAGGAGATTTATTATTATTATTATTGTGCGGCCTCTGGGTAAACATATTATTATTATTATTATTATTATTATTATTATTATTATTATTATTATTATTATTTTCGATTTAACCTTATCCTCGTGATTCTCATGTCCGCCAATATCGATTGCAACAATTTAGAATGCCAAAGTTTTACCATAATAGATAGTATCATCTAAACTTAGAATGCCACCAAATGTCATCGTCATAATGACCAACAAAGTTTACTATGATACCATGATAAACTTCACGAACCGAGCAAAAGAAACTTATTAGTCTATTATGAACCACAGTAATACTACGACTGAGATTTTGAGATGGTCACTCAAGAATCGACATATATTTGAGTCTTGACTTTGATTTAGAGATGATTCCATCTGCTCCGAAATCCTCCATATCCTCCGTCATCTAAACCGGACCGGAGGAGTACTATTTAATGTTATAAATCGTATAAATATTAACATCGTATACTCTAATCCTCACAAATGGTATTAAATCATGCTATTATTATCCTTTTTCATTAATATAAGACATATTTTGACATGTATGATTTAGCATATTTTAAGCACATTTCAAATCTACATATTAATATTATCGATAAAAAATTTACCCGTTTAAACTTTTTTTTTCCTCTCCTTTTCCACAATGTTTCTACTCTGATCCAGATTTTATATATTGGTACTTACTCGTCAATGGAATGTGCATTCTCCGTCAAGAACGCCATGTTAAGTCTCGTCGCTCATATGATTTATATCGGAGACATAAATATAAGAGATCGTTTCAGAGAAGATATAGAGGTTGTTCCTCAGCATATGCTGTCACGGAAAAGAATTGGCTTTATCATCATGTCATCATGTGTACGAGTAGTAGCTGATAGTGACGAGTATGACAATTAAGAAGTAATAATAGTACATACATTACGGCAAAAGATCATATATGCCTTCACATTATCATTCTGGTCGAGTGATCTCGAGACGAATTGTCACTAGAATGATGTCAAGCACCGTCTGTTCCCTGAGCAAGCAAGATCACTTACGTATATGGAAAGAAAAAGTTGATTGCTCAGAAGGAAAGCTTCACATAAACCCTTGTACTTGCAAAAAACATAGAGAAGTGTAAACACCAAGTAATATATTTGAGCTCGTTAAAAAAAAGAAAACAGAAGGTAATTTTGATCAAGTTCGAGGACCATAAATTAAGGTAAAAAGAGCTTGTAGAATCAGAAGCTATAAATCTTCCCAGTTTTTATTCTTAATTCAGGTGCAAAGAGCAAGTTGAAGATCATTGCTACACATACATTGGACCGATGATTGGAAGTAATGCCTTACGATCCAACCAGAGATTGAACTGACCTCAAAGAAGGGGGTATATATATATATAGGTGCATTTTATAAATAATATTTTCGATGAGCTGGTGAAGTTGAAGACAAAGAGACCAGATTTGAGTATATATATATATATATATATATATATATATATATATATATATATATATATATATATATATATATATATATATATATATATATATATATATATATATAT